ATCCCAAGCCCACTCTGATTCAGTCATTTCCTGTGCTCACTCATCTCTGTGTCCCAGCTCTTATTATTGCCATCAATAATCACCCTGTCTGCCTCCCCAGTGAAGTGTAAGATCCTTGAGAGCAGGTGCCCTTTCAATAAATATTTCTGAGTGAAGGAATGGATTCCCTAATTTCATGCTAACCAGTGAATTTAGCCACCCACATCCCAAGTACCTTTCACCAGAATGTCATGGGGAGACAAACTACCCAAATTTCATCTCAAATTCTCAAGCCTCCCTCTCAGCTGGTGTCAGAACAGCACTGATTAAAAGGGAGGTACAACAACGGCTAACCTCCAAAACCCTGAGTACGGGACAGGAGCAGCTGGGGCTCACTGAATTTCTTATTGTTACCAGCCATTACTCTATGGGTCAAGGTATTACTGGACCAATTTCCCCTCAACCTGCCTCCTCATCCAGTCCCTGCATCTGCAATTTCACAGCACAATCAGAGATGAAATAGGCGGTAAAAAGTGCCCAGGAATTGGAGCCAGAAGCTCGTGGTCCGATCCTCAGCTCTGCCATCTCTTAGTTATGTTACCTGGAGCCCAACTGCTTTAAACCTATTCTCACCTGTTAAATATGGATAATACTTACCCTGCTTATCTTTTAGGGTTGTTGGCCCCTTTCTCAGTTCCTCTCTGTTGCAGGGGTTTGGTGGTTTGCTCTGTCTACAGCAACTTACATCTAGTTTTCACAGTGGCACAGATTGGTCTAGGGAGTTAGGACTGTAAGCCAAGAGATGCTTAATCTGTAGAGGCAGCCCATATCCCAGAATATACAACCCTCTGATATGACCAAGTCCAGAGACATTGTCCACAACCCTGGACCCATGCTGCATCAAACAGAGAATCCGGACCTTCCTGGGAACCATTTCAGGCAAAATCCTTTGGTGAGAACCAAAGGCCATTGTCTGATAGTCACTGCTTTCACTGATTGACCTGGAGACCAGCCAGGTGGACACAGCCATGGATGGGGCTGATGGAGCTCCACAAGCAGCAAGCTGACCATGTCCCAGACTCTGCGTCCTCTTAGCTTCATGGCAGAGAATATCTGCTGAGCTGGTGTTGGTGCTCAGTGGAGTTTCTCCTCACGTGCCTCTCCCACTCTCACCAACTTTCCCTTAGCACATCACTCTGATAGAAAAGCTAAATACACTTTTAAGGATTAATTAAACCTCTATACTATGTTTACTCAGATTTATACTATCTGAGGCCATTTAACAGTCTAGGGGATAGACCAAGGTGTCTGAAAAGTAGAGAAAGTTCAAAGAATTATTTTAACAAACGGTCTTATTCCTTTCTTACTCCACCTCTTGAGTTAACATGGGGCTAGACTCATTTTCCTTTCTCCTGAGGATAAAATTTCTATCCAGGTACTAAATTGCTCCATCTATCCAGGCAGCTTGGGTCTATGGATATGGATTCTTTCAGTCAACATTTTTATTTACCCAACATCTCTTGAAAACACCCACCTCCCTCATTTCCACTTCCACCCACTCTCTGGTGAGGGTCCCGCTCTTCCTCTGCCCACATTTTCATATCATCTTCTTCCACTCTCCCAGGACTTCTGGAAGGAAAGTTTCTCTTTTCCAATGGAAGTGAGCTAAATGATTGAGTTTTAAAGCTGGTGACTGCCTCAGAAGTCTGTAGGTGCCCCCACTGTGGCTCTCTGTGGTTTCCATCTTTGTGCAGTAAAAGGACAACATCGTGCCTCCTCCTGGCTGGCCCAGCCTGGTCTCTGTCCCTGTTCTAGCTTCTCTGCCTCCCATTGGTTCAGTGAATCAGGCCAGAAGTCCAGATTCATGAATGGAGGCAGGAGGTGTAGGAGAGAAATTATGGCACACTCTCCTTCTAGAGGAACAGGCTGGACCCTGGGTTGGCATTCTGGTTTGTTGCCCCTGAAAATCTGATGAAGGTGGAGCGTCAGCTGGGTTATAACATTGCCTAAGTTGGAGGTGACCCCTGACGGGTGGGTGCTTTACCGTGAATACTGCTGGGAGGCTGTAGCACTGGGCTTTCTGAGTCCAGTGACTCTGGTGAATAAGTGTGACTTTTGCGGGGACCCTGGAAACTAGGTCAAGATGGACCCACTGTTGTGGATCTCATCTCCTTGTTTCTGAACTATCATTTGGGGGCTGAGAGACTAGCCCTAGACTAGGATAGGGAGTGTGGCGAGGACTCTCCTGCAGAGGTAAGCTGGACCTGCCTTATGGAGGCTGTGGGTCCTGTCCTGCGTTCCTCTAAGTGAATCTGGTGCCAAACATGCTCTCTTGTAGTTCCGTGAGTCTGAGTGTCTAGTTAAGCCTAAAAATAAAGAGGCTCCACCTGATTTTCCCTTCCAGAGAGCCCTTAAAAGCTGATATTTTTACACCCACGTTTTTGTGTGTGTGTGCGGTACGTGGGCCTTACACCCACTTTTGCAGTGCTGTGTGTTCCCCACCCCCTCCACTGCAACTGACCAGAACATGGCAGAGGAGAAGAAGTGTCTCGTACTTGAACTTCACCCTTACAACTACCATCATTACTCTTGATCATCATCATTGCAACCCCCACAAGAATTCCAGCTCCGGCCCGTCACCTCCCACTCTCTTAACTAGATCACATATTACTCCCTTTTTAACTTTGTCTCCCAGCATTTTCTCCTATGGACAGCATCTCCTAAAAAAAACAAACAAACAGGGCTTCCTTGGTGGCTCAGTGGTTGACAGTCCGCCTGCCGATGCAGGGGACACGGGTTCGTGCCCCGGTCCGGGAAGATCCCACATGCCGCGGAGCGGCTGGGCCCATGAGCCATGGTCGCTGAGCCTGCGCGTCCGGAGCCTGTGCTCCGCAACGGGAGAGGCCACAACAGTGAGAGGCCCGCGTACCGCAAAAAAAAAAACCACAAAAAAACAAGGGAGTTGCACTGGTGGATCACATGACCAATCCTTTTCTATGTCCCGTTCTCTCCGTTTTCAAATCTGTGGAGCCCTGACTGGGAGATGGTATTTATGTTTCTCTCTCTCAACTACGCTCCCTCCAGGGGAGGAGCTTACTGGTGACTTCACTGGCCCATGGGCTGTGGGCAGAAGGGACAGGGTGCCAGTACTGAGCAGAAGCTTTGAGAAGCGCTGCAAGTTTCCACCCATACTCTTGTGCTCCTGTGCTTGGCTAGAAGAACACAGTCCAGTAGTCCCTGCTCCTTTAGCCTGGGCCCCAACATGAGGAGAAGGCCTGAACCCAATACACAGGCAGAAGCTAAGTCCAGCCAAGCCCAGCAGAACCAAACCATCTTGCAGACCCATGAATGGGACATAAATGCTTGTTGTGAGGCAGTGCGATTTTGGAGTTGTTTGTTACTGCAGCCAAAGCTGATCCATACACCACGTGACAGGAAAGCATGTCTCACAGATGCGCGCACCAGGGACTGGTCAAAAGCCTGCCTGAAGGAGAATGAAGGGCAGCTGGAAGGGCCCCTACAGGAAGACTTCCACTGCTTCCACCTCCATGCCGGAGCCACACACCTCCATATGGAGACACACCTGGTTTTTGGCATCTACAGCCTGTGCCCCAGCAGGAGTAGGAAAGGAGTCTGGTAGGAGAGGCAACTAAATTAGAACGCCTCAAAGTCAAATTCCTCTCCATCCACAGTCCTCTCTCTTGCACAGGCCTCCAAGCCTGGGCGGCCTGTTTCTTTCACTGCCTACGGGCCGTATTTAAAAGGCTCTTGAACTTAGCGGGGAGGTACTTAGGGTGGAGTTTAGCCAGCAGGGAGAGGCAGCGAGACGCTTAGACACGTTTACAAGTTCCAGCATCACCGGTCTCTGGCTGCTGAAATCAGTATGCAATTCTCCAGGCCTCTCTGGTTCCCAGTATTAAAGGACCCCAAAGAAAACGAACACCCTCTCAGCCCAATTCTAGCTAATAGATGTTTTCTTGCCAAACAGAGTAGTGTAGCATATTTGACATCATACACAAACTGATGTGCGGCGAGGACAACCGTGGAGCTCTGGTACTCTCAGTGCTGCAGCCTGGGGGCTAACCTGAGAGGTCCAGGTTGGGGTGTATGACCAGGGCTTGAGCATGCTTCATTGACTCAGAGAAAACTGGGGTCATTCCCCACCTCCTCAGTCCCTTGGATGAAGACTTCAGAGTTGACAGCCACAGTCATCTGTTGGGAAAAACAGAGAGCCCTCCACCAACCAACCTAACATAATGGAAGAGGAGGGAACGTACATTTGGGGATGGTGTAAGGGAACAAGCAGGAACGGCAGTGGTGGGTTTCCAAACTTTTGCTAAAACACTGAAGGTTTTAAAACAAAACCTTACCTGGAACAGACACATACATAAACAGACGAAAGTGCAGAAGCTCAGGGTGAGGCAGGGGTGAACTTTCAGAGCCTGTCTGTATAGCATTTCATTCTCCAGTCCTAAGAGTGGCTCCTGAAGTTGTGTGTGGAACCCCAGGACTATATACACTTTGCAAACCACTAGGCTAGAGAAAGCTTGGGCATTAATAGGCTTAAAGAAAGCTGGGAAATGAAGGGAGCAGGTATCGTCATGGCTGTTTCTGGGCATTTTGCTGTGAAGAGAACGGAATTAAATGTATAGGCATCCTTTGTCATGACTTGGCAACGGTGGTGCACACAACAGATAAGAGGCCTTCCACAACTTGCTTGAGGCAGGTAGACTGACCAACCTACCTTTCTCCGATATTTTTAGGACAAGGTTCCTTATTCTTATCTTAAACTGGGAAGGGCAGATTTGCTTGGGAAACACTTAGATCTTCCTCCTTTGCTCTACTTCCTCCTACTCTCTACTCACCCCTCAAATCTAAGCCTCTGGCCCCTCCTGAGCTCACAGATCTCAAGCCTGGTGCCATCTCTGCTTTGACCTTCAAGGGGGAGGGACCCTGAGGGATATGTCTAACTCATCAGTATGCAGCTCCCCATTTCCGGTAGAGACCAGCCCCAGACCCACCTATGCACACCACATCCATGAATCCATACATCCCGTAGCAGATCTGGAAGAGGAGGTCTTGGCGCTGCCATTTTGCTGAGGGGCTGAAGGTCGACCAGATGAGCCAAGAGATACTGGCGATGAGGAAGAGGGAACCCAGGATGGCAGCTGCGATCTGAACCTTCTCAATGACTGTCAGAGAGATGGCCTGCCACTGCAGAGAAGAGAATGGCGGGTTAGCGGTTGCTTGGATGCCCTCACCCCACGTCCATCCCATTCCCATCCGTCCTCCTTCTGCTGCCCCAACCTCTCGCCTCTGGATTTAAACCTGGGCTTTCCAACTTGTAATGCGATGGCTACTTTTGCAAGTTCCTGAGGCTGACACTGTGCTTTTGACGTGGAGGAAACCTGTATCATGCTAAATGATCAGAAGTCTTTACAGGGAGGGGGTTCTGGGCGGGCATGGCTGGGAAGGAAGGCCTTTGTGATTGATGAGGATACAGACAGAAAAATGGGAAGAAAAAGTGGAAATGCAGAGTGTAGGTGGTGTTCCGGGTCCCCAGAATATTCTTTTCTGAGCAACACATTATTTTCTCACTAACAGGTGCTGAGAGGGCACAGGCCTTTTTTTTTTTTATTGTTTTTTTCACTTGTTTTCTACAACAACACTTGGCATGTCATTTAATATACATACTAGGGATTACCAATTCAACAGACAAAGACAGGACACAGGATGTGGGGGAGAGGTAAGAAAAACAGTATAATTTACTGACCGTATATGAACACTGAGATTTCAGGGGGTTTTTTTAAACAGAAAAAAGCACTATGCTAATAGCAGTATTGATGGATGGGTTGAAGGCTAGGGTGTGGGTGGGTTTCTACTCCAAAATTCTATGAGTCTATGGCTGGTCCAGGTAGCATAGGCCTAGATGAGCCATGAGTTGGATTTTAGTTTGGAATTTATTCATACTTTTGCTCAGCAAATATGTACTGGGTATTCTCTGTGTGCCAGGCATCCTGCTAGGTGCTGAAGACAAAGCAGTAAGCAAAAACATACAAGGCTTCTGCCTTCACAGGGCTTTTCATCTAGGGAACACAGACAACCAAATAATTATTTACTACAGCAATCCATCTGGAGTAAGAAAGGGAGGTACATGGCATGTGAGAGCCTACGATAGGGGGTTTCACTTCCCAGAGGAAGCAATGAGTTGACTGGGAATTTACTGGGCAAAGCGAGGAGGGAAGCATGCTCCGCAGAGGGAAGAGCATGTGCAAAGGCCCTGTGACAGCAGAAAGCATGCTGAACATGAAAACCTGGAAGAAGACCAGAGGAGGGGGAGCAGAGAGCGGGGAGTATGGGGTGAGACGACTGGGAAAATAAGAAGGGAAGACCACGTGGGAGCTTGAAGAACATGCACAGATTTTTGACTTTATCATAAGAGTAAACACGATGCTCTTGAACAGTTTGCTTTTTTTTTTCGGTAAGTGGGCCTCTCACTGTTGTGGCCTCTCCCGTTGCGAAACACAGGCTCCAGACGTGCAGGCTCAGCGGCCGTGGCTCACGGGCCCAGCCGCTCCGCGGCATGTGGTATCTTCCCAGACCGGGGCACGGACCCGTGTCCCCTGCATTTGCAGACGGACTCTTAACCACTGCGCCACCAGGGAAGCCCTCTTGAACAGTTTTAAGAAGGGAAGTGACAGGATCTGGTTTGGGAAGGTGGAGGGAAGGACTATCTCCTGACTGTAGCAGTTTGCATAATGCCCTGCAGAGAGCATCCCCAGAAGGCATTTCAGGAGGCATTTCAGAACTCTCAAGGAAAGGCGGACAACCTTCCTTCTGCCAACAGTGAGCCCTCCCTGCACATTAAATGGCCTGGATGGAAGCACTGATTCTGGCTCCAGCCAGGACTGACCAGAGGCCCCTAAGGAACTGTAACTACTGGAAAACATTTTGCTTGCTAGTCTAGATGTAGGACATTAGCCTTTGCACTTAATTATACAGATCGCATCCCATCACAGGTAATTGGGCCTTTACATTTTCCACTCTCCAGCCTAGGGTTACACATAACAAAGGCATTTTCCAGAAGATGGCCTGATCCGACAGGCTCCTCTCTTAGACAACAAATGCTTCTTCCAGAGCCTGCCTCCTGACTGAGCTTTTTGTTTCCACCACTGTGACATCAATACCCTCCCTTTCTGCTCCAGATTTCACAAACCCCAAATGGAGAGGCACAGGAAGCTCCCCTTAATCCCTAAAGCCCCTTCCTACCAGCCCCTAAGCCACCTGAGGAAACTAAACAGCGCTCCCGACTACAATTTGAAGCAGGAAGAAGAAAGAACAGGACGGGGTGATATGCACAAGGCTCTCCTCCTGTCTGTCCGATGGGAGGCTCCACAGATCTGCAAGGAGAAAACAGAGGACAGGAGAGCTCTGCAATCTCCCAGGGAGGCTGGGAAGGGGAGAAGGGCTCCAGAGGCACCAGGCTGTGCCACCGCCAGACCCCCAGAGCTTCGTCCCCAGCGAGATCCTGATCACAGTGTCCTGAGATTTCTCCGTGCCCTGCTGTGCAGCAAATGGAGAGACAAAGAGGAAAGCACATGAAGACAGGATGATTCCTTCCTTATAACAGGAAGGGGAAGTGAGCAAGGGCCAGGCGACCCAATCCTAACCCAGCTCTTCTCCAGCTTGTGGACTGTGACCTAGGAGAAGTCAATAAATCATCAAGGGACTTCCCTGGTGGTGCAGTGGTTGGGAATCCGCCTGCCAATGCAGGGGACACGGGTTCGAGCCCTGGTCCAGGAAGATCCTACATGCCATGGAGCAACTAAGCCCATGCACCACACCTACTGAGCCTGTGCTCTGGAGCCCGCAAGCCACAACTGCTGAGCCCGTGTGCTGCAACGGCTGAAGCCCGTGCACCTAGGCACTGTGCTCTGCACCAAGAGAAGCCACCACAATGAGAAGCCCACGTACCACAATGAGGAGGGGCCCCGGCTCACCACAACTAGAGAAAGCCCGTGCAGCAACGAAGACCCAACGCAGCCAAAAGTAAATAAATAAATAAATACATTTACAAAAAAATATATATTTAAAAAAAAATCATCAAGAATTCCAAAAAGTGGAGATAGTTGGTCCCTCCTGTTTCCTAGAGTATTGTGACGGTTAAGTGAAATTAATCAGTGCTCTGAAGGGTACACGCTGCCATCATTTCTGTTCTTCATTATGTTTCAGCAAAAGTACAGCTATGCATGTCAAGGTGGGCCTACTTATAGCTGTACTTAGCAAACTCCGTGCTGGGCACTGCAGGGTAGAGGTTAAGGGCCAGACTCAGAAGTCAGACCCCTTGGATGTAACCCTGCTCCACCAGGGTGACCTTGGACAAACTGCTGACCCCTCTGTGCCTCTACTGTCTCATCTGTAAACTGGGAATAATAATAATGCATTGGGTTGTTTTCAGTATTAAATGTGATAATGTATGGGAATACCTAGAACATTGACTGGTCCCCAGTTAGCACTAACTAAATGTTCATTAATATGATTGCAGTTCAGGTGTAGCAAAGAGGATGAGAAGCAGCCACAGAACCTTGAGACCACAAGGCTACCCTGAAATGCCTCCTTTCTCAAGGGGCTCTTTCTAGAAACAGAGCTTGCAGAGGGTCACTGAGATAACGTGCTCTCTTGTCCACTGTTTCTCACAGCATCGTATGAGGCATGAACCAAGAGGTGAGAGATCTGAGACCTGGAAGAAACGTTCCTACTCTGACAGCAGAGGTAGCTCCGGCACCCCATCCATTGCTCTGCTCCCTCGTGGTAGGGCCTGCCTGCTCCATCCTGTACCACAGATGGTCGGGCTCGCCTGGGAGAGCAGAAGTTGCCCCACCATGGCTGAGCAAGCAGCCGTCTCACACTTGGCTGAGCCTGAGCCCAGGACATGCAATTGGGACAATCTGGGCCACAATCACACAACACGGCTGCCAGTCCGGACTACATCCTTCTTCCGGTACTATCTGGAAAAGTGAAATGGCATTTACTGAGCACACACCATGGAATGCAATGGTCCACTCATAATCCAGAAGTAACAGAATCAGAGAGTCTCCAGTGACTAAAACCTCACAGTTAAAGACACGGTAGTAACTTAAGAATAAAGCCATAGATCAAATTTGTCAATACTGCCATCTGCTTACCGCACTTATGAGATTAGAATGACCTTTTCTTTACTCCCAGGAAAAAGTTATCCCTAAATCGTTCTTCATTTTTTGTGTCGAGGGCTGATTCCTGTTTATGAGCCAAGGGCGGGGCCAAGGGGGCACTTGGGGGTGAGCTTGTGGGTTTGGACTCTGACCCTTTTCCAAGGTTTGAATCAGCTGAGAAGGAAGGGAAGAGTTAACGCACTCCAGGGCGTGGAGTCAGCTGCCTCATGGCACTGCTATTTTAAGACACTTCAAGATTTTGGAATGAATGGCTAAAGATGGAACCAGCGCAGGGAGAAGCACTTCTTATTCTGACCCCTTGGTACACTGTCAGGATGGCCGAGGTGCCTGGGGGCTCTAATGCCTCCTTCCAGAAATAAGCCTCCCTGCTGGCCCGTACGTGCGGACACTGCAACTCCAGGTGTTTCCAGCGTCCCTTCATGCAAAAATCCCATGCCACCATCACCCCCAGAGCACTCGCCCTCCTGGGGCTGCAGGATTGACTCCCTCCCACCCCCTCGGAGAGGAGGAGAAAGACAACGGGTGCCAAGCTGCTGAGTTCCCGCCCTCACTAGCACGCTGGTTCATTGATTATGTGGCAGCTTAACTGGCTGACCGTGCGTTTGTGGAGGTATTTTCAGAAGCAAAGCGCTCTCTCTCTCTCTCTGTGCCTCGCAGGGGGAGCTGTGTGATTTGGAGGATTTACGACATGGTGCAGGGCCTGCCAGCTGCTTGGGGGTGATGGATGTATCCGGGCAGGGCGGGAGGGTTCGAGGAGGATGGTGGGGGAGCCCTTAGTTCTGACGGGTCCAGCCCTGTGTGAATCTGTTTCGCAGAGCCCACCCGAGCCCTGGCCCCTCTGCCCTGGCCCTTCACAGACAACTCTTCAGAGTCTCTCCCATTTCTTTCCTCCTTGCCCCCTCTTCTCTTTTCCTCTGCTTCCCTCTCCTGTCTCGTCTCCAATTTTCTCTAGTCCCTTGTCACAGGAAGGATGGTCTGTGGGCCAGCCACATCCGCATCATTCGATAGCTTGTTAGAAACACAGGATCTCAGGCCCCACCCCACGGGCCTGAATCACAGTCTGTGTTTTGACCAGATTCCAGGTGAATGACATATTCAAGTTTGGGAAGTACCACTGAGTCTCCTCTCTCTCTGTTTCTTCTTTTCCGCCCGTAGCTTTACCACTGTCTTTCTCCTCACCCTCCCACCCTACCTTTTTCCCCTCCTGCACTCGTCTGTCCTCTGCTCTTCCTTGTTTTTTCCTCCCTCCTTCCCTTCCTCCCCTCTTTTCTTCCTATTCCTTTTCCTTATCTTTCTGATTTCATCCATTCATTCAGTCATCCATTAGCTCACTTATTCTCTCTCTCCCATCTGATTCTCCACATTTCTTTACCTCTGTATCTATTTCTCTCTCTTGGCCCCAATCCCTTTCTCCTCTTCTGGCTGAGGCTTAAGAGAAAACACAAAAATTCTTTCACCCCCTCCTGCCCGGTTGCCATCTGCCGTCTCGCCCACCTGGCCCATCTCGTTCTTTTTCTCCAAACCGCCCAGACTCTAAGGTGAAGTCGTCCTCCCGCCGAAAAGCAGGGGGTGTGGGAAACCCCTGGCCGGAGCCCCAGCGTCCCAGCGGGCAGCCCCCGGTTGTACCTGCAGAGGGTTCTTTGTGCTGATGGCGATGACGTGGTACTTGTAGTAGCACAGCTCGCAGCTCCAGCAGCCCCGCTCGCTGATCCACTTGATGAGGCAAGGCTGGTGCGTGCACTTGACCGAGCCGTCGCAGCGGCACGGGCTCAGCAACTCCCCCTGCAGGGAGAGAGGCGGAGGGTGGTGAGGCCCGAGCCCCACCGTCGGTGGGTGGCGTTGGGGGTCTGGCCGCCTGAGTGCTGGTTTGCCCCCCAGCCCTTCCCGTCTCGGGGCAGGCCAGACCACAGGCTTAGTTGGGAGGCCCCAGACACTAGCAGGGAGGCCTGGCCTCCAGATCCCCAGCTTCCGTGAAGTCAGCTAACAATTCTGAGCCCCCGGCTCCTACTCGGTACTGCCCAAGTCCTAGGGTTTCTGCGGAAATGAGTCGGGGGCTTTCTGTGGAAGCCCTCTGCCATCCAAAGGGGGTGTCAGCCTAGACAGGCTTCTCTTTAAAGGCTCAGCCAGGGGTCTCAAACTCAAATGCTCTCAGGGCCAGACAGGCGACACAAGTGAGAGAAGCCAGCTGGTGGAGATTAGGACGGATTGGAGGGCCCAGACCCCAGTTACAGGGATAGCCATTATCAGCTGTACATGTGGGAATCTAGGTGGCACTTTTTAACGTAAAACATCCCCATAGTCAAATGTCAACAGCGAATCCGAGTTTTGAATACAGTATATCGTGAGGATCATTTTGCCTGAGTCCGGAGCTCTGGTCCTGAGCTTTTGCACTCTTCTGAAGGACGGCCCATAGAGACCCAGGTCGGCTCTGTGAAGCCTCTTGCCCCTGGTCCCAGAGTGACAAAAACATAGCAGGCAGGCCTGAATCCTGGGAACCTAGGAGGCTGGGCAGGTACCCTCTCGGAAGGCCTGGGGCCCTCTGGGCACGTCCCTCGGGCCTGGTTGGGAGTGACCGGGAAGCCCAGCCTGGCGCAGGCCTCGAAGCAGGGAGGCAAAGATGGTGGCTGGATTTGAAGCCCCTTGTGAGTGGACCGCACAGCTGGGTTCAGTCTCCAGAGCACCCTGCGACCATATGTCACATGACCACGACTGAAGCCTGCGTCTGCTTCCTGCTGGGCCTGATGCTGCGGCCCCAGAGGACCTCCTTGAGCCTCCCTCGCTGACTCCTCTTCTCTCCTCTCTCCTCCTTTTCCCCTCTCTCCCCCTGTGTGTTCTTTTTCTCCCTCCTCACTCAGGGTCTATCATTTCTTCTTGCTGACTCCTGTCCACCCAATGCCTTCATATACCTTCTCAGAGGCTTCAGCAGTGGGGCCCACCCAACTCCCCAACCTGTGCTCCCTTCTGACCTATCCCATGGCCTCCCCCTTCCTTACTTCCTATGCCCTCCCTCCCCCAACTCATCTATTTTGGGAAAATGTCTTCTGCCTCACTCCTATCAAAGGACCCAGGAGCTGCCATGCACAGCCCCATTCCCTACTCCCCACGCTGATGTATTTGAGATACGGCCACTTAAGCCATGTCTCTGTTAGTTTGGGGATTTCACTATTCAGGAAACCACATCTTGTTCCCAACTTTGAATAAGCAGGCACAGGCGCTCCTGACCTATAAGTTACAGAGCTTCATTTGTATATTTAATCATGCTTTTGGCTGTAGACTGTAGAACCAGCCATTTCCTCCCAAGATGCTTGGAATCATCTTTCCCTTTCACTTCAATTTCTATCATTCAAAGACTGCCCCTTGGCCTGGATGTGTTCTAGAGTGTCCTTTGGCACCTGGTATACCTGTCAAACTGCTTCTCTGTCTTCATGATGGTTCCAAAGCCACCTCCTACAGGGAGTCATCCCTGATTTCTCTAGGTTGAGTGCAATGCCTTGATCGCTGAGGGCCTTATCAGCACAACCTTATGAGGCTCTCTGCATATGCCTGTCTACCTCCCAGAGGAGCCCTGGAAGGCAGGTATGGGGGGGCGGTCATTTATCTTTGCACCCCATTCCCCCAGCGCCTAGCTTACTCTCAGCACGTCCTCAACAACCTTTGTGTTTGAGTGAGTGAAAACATAAGTCAGGTGTCTGCTCAGGTTTCCTGCCTGGCCCTGAGGAGCGGGGATGAGACTGCCCACTCCATAAGAATGGGAACCATGTCCATCTTGTTGACCTTGGGACCCCAACACCTCACTCAGTGCCCAGCACCCCCTGTATATATGTACAATGAAGGAACATGGTGGCAGAAATGCTCAGGGTGCCTCATCCCCATAAAGTCCTCCCTGGTTCCCCACTCTGATCCTCCAGTGTTGACAGGTCCCCTCACTGTGGCTGAAGGCCTGGAGCCTTCCTATACCCGCTGTGAGAGCCCTTCCCCCATGTGTCTCTGGGTCACTACAGTGTGACCCTTCACAGAAGCAATGTGTATCTTATATCCATCTTTGCACCTTAGCACCTAGTACAGTGCCTGAAACAATTAGACAATCCATCCCACTTTTTTTTTTTTTTTTTTTGGCCATGCCCCACGGCATGTGGGGTCTGAATTCCCCGACCAGAGATTGAACCTGCGCCCCCTGCAGTGGAAGCACAGAGTCTTAACCACTGGACCGCCAGGGAAATCCCACACTCCATCCAACTTTAACAGTGCAGTGCACACACAGCTGTTTGATGAATAAGAGGTTTTGCTCCTCTAGGACATGGCCAGCCTCTGGCTCCAGGTGGGCAGCTGTGGCTCCAGGGAGAGAAGTAGAACAGGCAGGAAATGCCCACATTGCTGGGCACTCACCACAGCCATTGAGGCCCTTGGTATTGAGAAGCTGCTGTGTGGTTCTGAGAAAAAAATAGGCAGGGGAGGTTGGGGAGAGGTGCTGAGGGAGAGGCAAAAGCCCTCATCATTCATGGAAGTATTTCTTAGGCTCGTTAATTCTAAAGGATGAGCTGGGTTTGATTAATCGGGTTGTTAAACAGCCATGTCAAATTGCCAATCAAGTAAGAGACATTACTCCCGGTCCCTGGCAACGGTGCCAAACAACAACAAAGGCTGTTCTCCTTGCTTTCCAAACGGCAGCCATGAGACAAGGGAGAAAGAGCCGCTGGCCAGGCATACTGATAACAAGACCTGGGCTCTCCATCGTGGCTCTGGATGTGGGACCATCACTGGAGTCCCCGAGTTATCTAGCATGACCTGGCCTGGTCCCAGTGCTTGGCCACAGGCCGAGAGGCCAAAGGTATGCAGTTTCCCCTGGAGCTCCCAGTCCCCCACGCTTTCCCTTGGCACCAGTCAACCCAAAAGGCAGGATAGGGACTTGCTTTCGGTGCCACAAAGATTAGAAAGCAAGGACACCAAAGCTGTTAGAAAAGTTTAACTTCGATGAAGGAAGCAATCCAGGATTTTAGAAAGAAGAACCTGCAGAGAAGCTGTTTTAACCTTGGCATTCACGTAAGCTTTTTACCTTATGATTTAGCATATTTTTATGTACATTGGGGAGGAGGGCCATAATCTTTTTTGTGTTAAGGACTTCTAAGAGGCCTGAACCTGGACACTGTACAATCTTTGACTGGTCAACCTGTGCTTCTTCAAGAAAGGAAAAATGGAAACGAGCCAATAGCCAGACAGGTTCAGGTTAGACTGAAGGAAGGTGTTCTTTGCAGTAAACTCTATTAAAAGTTAAAATGGTGGAACGTGGAAATTGAGGTGATAAACATCTCTCAGTATAACAGAGACGCCTACTGAAAAGGTTACTCAGCCAGGGACTTCCCTGGTGGCGCAGTGGTTAAGAATCTGCCTGCCGATGCAGGGGACACGGGTTGGAGTCCTGGTCTGGGAAGATCCCACATGCCGCGGAGCAACTAAACCCATGCGCCACAACTACTGAAGCCTGCGCGCCTAGAGCCCGTGCTCCGCAACAAGAGAAGCCAACCGCAATGAGAAGCTTGCACACCGCAAAGAAGAGTAGCCCCTGCCCGCTGCAACTAGAGAAAGCCTGCACACAGCAGAAAAGAGCCAACACAGCCAAAAATAAGTAAATAAAATAAATTTATTTTTTAAAAAAAGTGGTCACTCAGCCAACCAGTGGCATGGCCCGAATGTAAAGCCGGGTCTTTCTGACATCAGACTCTGAACCCACACCTGTGCCCATGGGTCTCTTCTGTGGTCCAGCTCCAGTCCTTCCGCCAAGTCTCCCATGACTGCCAGCTACAGACCCATCTTCTCTCCCTGCGTCATCACCCACAGTTTGGCCCTTAATCAGTCTTCAGTTGTTTCCTCTGGGATTTGGGGTGCTCCTGCATAACCCGCAGGACTGGGCACGTCATAGCTGCACAATAAAGGTGCATTTACTGGCTGGACAGGCACCAGGGTAAGGCAGAGGACAGGGCCCTCTGGCCCAGCTCCTGAGGGTCCAGCCTTTGGGCTGGAGGATTATTACAGACTTGTCTGCAGTGTTCAGTAAACTCCACAGCACAGAGCAGCTCATTAAATGCAAAGGGCACCAGACACTTCCTCAATGAACAGCTTGGAGCTTTGGGGCCCAGAGACGACCCTGGGAATGACTAAGGCAAGAAAGACGGATCTTCTCTAATCACCGGGCTCCCATGGGACACAGTGTAAGGGACGGGTGAAGAGCATGGTTTTGGGAGACCAAGTCCTTAGGTTTAAATGCCTCTTCAGCTCTTACTGGCTGTGCAAACTTGGGCAATCTCTTAACCTCTGTGAGGCTCTGTTTCTTCATCTTTCCATGGCAGGCAACTCTTACCTCCTCAAAGCCTGTCTGTAAGAATGGAGTGAGATCATGCATGCAAAGTGCTGGACACAGAGCCTGGCCCAAGTAAGTCCTCTTGTGAAAATATTCTAATTCTAACTCGCCTTTCCATAAGGACTTTAGTTTCATAGTTTTTTCTACTACAACTCTAGTCTATGCTCCGACGATCAAATAGGTAAGACAGGAGCCATGCCTTAAGTAAAGGGTCAACTAAGCCCAGAGGGAGGTTGAGATAAAAGAAATGCCTAAGAGAGTCCACCCTGGTGAGGTGGGTAAGGGGTCGGAACACAGGTCTCCCTTCTGGCCCAGGACTGTCCTCTGTGCTACCAGGGATCACTGAGTGTTTGGGGGCCCTCTTTCCCTGGGGAGGCTGAACAGGAGGCCGCTTGGATGGGTTAAGTGGGGTCATGCTAGAGGCAGGACAAGGTTATCCATAGCCCTTGGCTGAGGCTGAGCTGGTGTGTGGGACGGAGAACAGGATGGATTTTCCTTGCTGCCAAATAACACAGCAAGCTTCAGGCGCGAGACTCCAGTCATGTCTCCATTCACAGATTTCTTTCTGTTTATTTCTGCCTTGCTTCAATTTTTCTCCCCTCAGTCTGAA